TATATATATATATACTAGGTAGGGCCTAAAGAGCTAGAGAATCAGAATCAATATGACAATTAGTGCTCCTGCACGAATAAATCGCTAAACGGCAAGCGTCGTTATTCCTATAAGGATTATCCCCAATTCAATATATACCTCATCGACATATTCTACTTATGTGCTTATAACTACAAGGTGCCGCCCAAAAACACAATCATTATAGTCTTGACTCTGCCCTTCTGGTACAAGAAACAAACACTTATTCATTAAACTAAAAAATTAATATTCATCTGGTATAGATGAATTTACGGATTGTTTACTGAAAACTTGTGTACTTGCCTTTATAACCCGTTAACTCACATTTTCAATGCTTCTTTATGCGCAGGAATATTTCCAGATATTTTCAAAACAGCAAAAATTAGCCACCTTTTACAAAATGGAACAAAAATGTAATTCAAAGTTTCCGGCCACTCTCTTTTTTCACTTTCTCAAAAATATTAAAGAGGCTTTTCTATATGCGAATGGAAACTTTCCTCGGGAAAAACTAAGCGTTCTCAGAGTCACAACAGTGGGAGCTGGGAAGGTTTTCTCGTGGGTGATCACACGTTTCTCTGGCCTCATCCAAACACGTAATGCTCTCGGCTATTAGAGTGACGCTGTGTCGAAAGCTGTGATGCCGACGATCCGACCTGGATGACGTGGTCTTCATGAGGGCTAAATTGCACCAGGATGGTCGGCGTTCAAATGTACATTCCTGTGAACTGGCGCGCCGACCATTCCGACGTACTGCAGCAGTGCAAAAAACTACGACAGAATGGTCAGCATCGCAGCTTCCGATGCTGCGTCATTCACACAGATAAAAAGCATTCGTACGACCTTGGGTGCAGAAGCCTTCGACATCACACTCTGCATGATTATGCCAATAGCGCAAGCGCTTGAGATCGCCAATGCACACACGCACGCGTGCGCACGTACCTGCAGGGACGGTGGAGGCCTGCAGCGTTAGCTGCGGCGCCAGCTGCGCCTCCAAGTGCGCCTGCAGGTGGCGCTCGGCGGCAGCCAGGTGCGGGGCGGCACGCGCCAGGTCCCCGAAGCTGCGTCCGCCCGCCGCGTAGAAGCGCACGCACGACATGCTGGCGCGCACCAGGTCCCCGCAGAACAGCTGCAGGCGGTACAGCGCGTGCAGCAGGCCGCGCCGCGCCAGCGCCGCGCACGCGCGCTGCAGGTATGCCTGCAATCCCACGCGCGGACGCACCCTTCACTGATGATACCGGGATGATTCCCTGATGCTCAGGGCATTCGCCCCGAAGTAGAATGCACGATTTTATCGATGGCGGTGATCGTCGCCCGCTGGATGGGAATATCCGCTAACGGCCTACGTCGGCTTGCTGGGCTCCCTAACCAAGTATCTTCCACCAGCATCGGAAGTTCTAAGCTCCTGACAAAAGCGGTAGTGTAGTGCATGTAAGTATGTGTAAGGGGTGAGCATATGACAAGTAAGAGAAAGGAAAGATCCCGCGCGGTTCGTGGCCCGTTTATTAGGGTACTGCTCCGCATTTGTCGGGTGTTGATCGGGGAAACCATCGAAAACTACCGACCAGAGCAGTCGGAAGCTAGGCTGAATTCGACTGAATTCTGCCAGGCTGAATTCGACACATCTGTCTAGCTAGTGTTTAAAACCCTGTCACCGTCGGGACTCCAACCTGGTATCGTATCGCCCGATCAAAGGATGGCAGTGACATCCGTTGATGCCCTGATGCCCTCCGGGGGCCCTCCAGGGGCGCCCACGCCCTGGAGCACCGATGAAAGAGGAAGGGAGAAGGGCACTCAAGGGGAGTTTACCGTTTCTGCACACGACTACTTAGAACATTAGTTCCGTAAGTGTGGTGCATGTTAAATCCCGGGAAATGTTGGTTTTCTTCCTATCTCGAACGTCGATCTACAGGTCGGTACCCTATTCAGAAATCTCCCCCTGGTACTGATCGGAGAAACCACACACCAAAACTATCTCTTAGGAATCGGCCCGTAGATTTAATTCGTCCCCACTATACAGTTAGTGTCGAAAATCCGACTTCGATGGGACTTGAATTTAAGAACCTCCCGGCCAAGATCGTAGCAGGGACAACGGTGTTGCCGCAGAGACATTGCAGCTGGCGGGGAGAGTGTGAGCCTGGATAAATGGAACCGATGATCCACGGGGCGAGTTTACTGATGTGCCCAGGGTAAGGTCCGCGTGGATCCGTGTTCGACCGCACAAGTTTATGCGCAAACGGCCGATTGATTCAACCAAACGGTGGTGATCACACTACATTCGACTGCGCCAGACATTTCTCTCGAAATTATGTACACAAAAGATTAAAACCGCTCTCCGAGGTGCGAGGCTCACCTGCCAGCAAGCGAGCGAGGGGTCGGCGTCGCGCAGCGCGGCGTGCAACGCGGCGGTGCGGCCCTCGCGCAGGCAGCGCAGGTACAGCGCGTCCACGAAGGTGTCGGGGTCGACGTGGGCGTCGCGCACGTAGGCACGGGCGGCGGCGAGGGCGGCAGCCGCCACAGCCGGCCGCCCCGCGCCCGGCCAGGAAGCCAGTGCGCGCCGACGCTCCGTACGCGCGCAAGTGACAGGCACTCTGGTGGGCGCGCTCGCGGGCCAGGGAAGCGGCGGGGCGGGGGCGGCGGGGGATGGCGTCGCCACTCGCCCGCGCGCTCCACCTCCTCACCAGCGCCGAAGCGCGCGCAGCAGCGGTCCGCCTTCGCGGTGCCGGCGAGCTGCGCCGGCACGGGCGACGGGGGCGGCGCGGCGGCGGGGGGGCGGCGGAGCAGCGCATGTGCCAGACTGCAGCAGGGTGCAACACTCCGCAGCAGCGGGGCCTGTGCGGGGCCGGAGGCGGGCGCGCTTCGGGCGCGGCCCGGGTGCGGGGCGGGGACGGGCGACGACCAGAGCGGGGCAGGCAAGCGCGCAGAACTTGTCCGCGGGCGGCGCGCCAGCGTCGCGCGCAGCGCACGCGCGGCCCCACGCCGCCCAACGCCGCCCGCCGTCCAGCCGGCCTTGGTGCACCCCTTCCACGGCAGCGGCCAGCGCTCCAGCGTTTAGCAGGCGGGCGCCGCAGGTGGCGCAAGCGCAGGGCGGCCGGGCGGCGGGGGCGGGCGGGGCGCGAGGCGGAGGCGAAGGCGACGCCGGGGCTGATAACATGGCGCACGGGGCCAGCGCTGCACACGCCAGCAGCGCCAGCAAGTCGGCGCGCTGCAGCAGCCCGTCGCAGTGCGCCTCGCCCGTCGCCAGCCCCAGGCGTGCGTACTTGAGCTTGGCAGCAACGAGCAGCGAGCGCGCCATGCGCAGCACCAGCGCCGCGTCCACCTCGGGGTTCGGGGCGGCGCCGGGGCCCACGGGCGCCAGCAGCTGCAGCAACGTGGCGCTCGCGCCCACCAGGAACCTGCCAACGCACCACACACATCACCACTACATTAGGATCAATCCTAATTCGATATTTAGTCCCATTTTATATTGGCAAATGAGAGGTTTCTTTCAAGAACCCAACAAGTCAAAAATTCCATACTTTGGGACATTTCACCAAGTTATTCTCTCTAACTGCCACTTACCGCTGGGACATTTCCCTCCGGCAAATGCCAAACACATTGAAAGCTATTAGGCGCGAAAATCATAAACACATTACTATGCACGTGTACGCTATGAAATTTTGGTGCCTCCTGAAAAAGCTCGAATTTGGTCTAGCTTAGTTCTCGTGAAAAACCTTTGCGATATTAAAATCTATTCACTTGTGGATGAATAATCAATTATTATTGAAATTTGTACTAAAATGTTAATGGAGATTGCACACGATCGTAATATCAGCAACACTTAACGAGAATGAAATTAAAAATATTGTGATACTGTAAGCTTGCGGTTTCTAAGTAACGTTCCATTAGAACTGAAGTGTGGTCGGAGAGACCATACAAAACTACCGATCAGGGCCCCCGGCCGCTTGAATTCTCTTATGGCCAAAGAGTATGACGTACTCGACGTAGCTATACAACTACTGCAGGCAACCCGCCTCCATCGGCTCTTGAACCCTACGACTTCCCGGTGAGAATAGCTACTTCCGAAGCAGGGGTGCCAGAAGTGTTACAAGCGCTTTCCCCACCACATTCCCCAACTTTGAGACGAAAATTATTCTCCAAATTATGGACCGACGACGAGCTCTCTCAGACGATTCCATTGGCTATCCCCTTAAATTCAAATAATTCAAATTAACCAATCACCGTCGTCAGCAGTTCGACGTCGTATACTGGCTTCCTGTTTCTCAAGTTTTTCTTTCACAATCCCTGTCCTCTGTCTCTTTTTGATACATAAAAATATGAGAGAATATCTAAAAATTTTTTTTTTTCTTATTCACATCAATGAATTATATTTCTATCTCGACTCCTGGTGAAAATAATTCCCCCCCAAAATCGCCAAACATTCCCCCATCCGTTTGTTTTCCCCATTTTTTCCCCACATCGAAAAACAATCCCCTTTTTGTGGGCAAAACTCCCCAATCCGGCAACGCTTTTCCTGCGGCACTCAGCTGGGAGGGGAGGAACTCACCTGGGGCACGCGGCGCCCTCGGAGTGCGCGGCCAGCGCCGCCAGGCAGAGCGCCACGCTGGGCGCGCGCGCGTACGCGAACTCGCCGCGCACCGTCGCGTTGTGGGCGGCGTCGCACGCCAGCCGCCACTGCAGCGTCGCCGCCGCCGCCGCGGCCGCCGCATCCGCCGCGGCGTCTTGCGCGTCCGGGTGGTCGCCGTCAGCGGCCTCCGCGGCGGCGTCAGGCGGCGAAGACCCCGCTCCCGGCCCCGCTCCCGCCTTCGCCGTCTGGCGCACGCACGCGTCGCACACGCGCACCGCCACCTGCCCGTAGCCCTCCACCTGCGCACGCCGCCGCCGCCGCCAACGACGCTCTCAACAATCTCACGCCACATCCAGTGCTGCTACAGCAGCTCATACACGTGCATATATTCAAAATTGTTGTTTCAGTGTCATAGTTAGAGGGGGCAGGGGGGCGGTCCGCCCCAGGTGTCACCATTTTAGGGGTGACACCAATTAGAAAACTTTATAGTTACAATTATATAATTATTTATTTAACAATTGTATTCCCATTATTCTGAATTACATACAGTTTTTTAATAAATTATAAATAAATGTCACGTGAAAATATACTTTTATTTCTATTAAATATTGTGTTAACTATTCAGTAATAATTATTTTTATATTAGTTAATGGGGGGTGATACCATTAGTTTTGTCCCGGGTGACATCAACTGAAGCTATGCCACTGGTTTCAATTACGCATTATAATGTATAATTGGAATAATTCTTATAATTGTAACGAAATATATGCATTCGCATTTTGAAATTTGGGACAAATGTACCGATTACACAGTGCGACAATGAAATTTGCCGCAGAACAAAAATGTGTGATTAATATGTAGTTCAGTGCCTTGATGATAATGGTGAAAACCATTTTTCGCTATTACCTAAACTTTTTTCTAAAAACACAATTTTATCTGCGCTCGGTCGAGTCATTTATTTTGTCGCGGCTCTTATGACTTTCTGTTATTTTAAGAATATTATTATTAGAATTAGTGTTGGAAGTAGAGGTAGGAAGGGGAGATAGGCACTTTGGGTAGGTAAAGGGAAGTTCCACTGGCATAAGTCTGTCGATAGTGAGATCACACAGTATCTATTCTTAAAGTGTGTAAATCCGCTAACGTGAAGAATATTTGTGCATGATTCTGTGTTTCTTACGCTCAACAACGTCTAGGAAGTCTGTTTATTCATCAAATATTTCTGTTATGTGTGTAGCGAGTTTACTATTGTCTTAAAGACATCCCATTTCTCCCATCGTCAAAAAGGTGTACGAGTTTTATTTTGAATCAAATGTAGATGAGGGTAAGTATTGGTCACCACACCACAGAATTCATATTGTTCTCACTATTTAAGAGTTAGGTTCCAGTGAACCCACACATCTATGCCATTTGCCGTACCACAGTTGTGGAGGGAACCTAGAGACCACACTACAGATTGCTACTTTTGTTTAACGAAAGTAACAGGAATCTCAAGAAAATTAAAACTCAGTTTCGTATCAAAATTTGGAATATGCAATGAGCCAAGTTCCTCAGTTTGATTCTCTCCAGTTCCAAAACCACCAACGCAATTTACAATGAAAGATGTAACAGACGATGGTAGGGGCAAATCAACAGATCACAAAAATCATTAACATCTTGAAAACTTTCCCTCTGAAATTGCGCTTTATGAAAAAGTTTGTGAAACCAATTGACAAAGATCGCCAATGTTTTCAATTTTTACTAACTAAAATTCCTGCGATTACTACTGCAAAAATTAAAGAAGGAATGGAGCGCAAATGGGTCTCGCGAAAACTATGAACTCAAAGGGTAAATTAACAACAGAAAAGTGATATTTTAGATTATCCTTAACGTGTTTAATGCTTATGACAATTCTTATGACAGTTTAATTCTTTTACATGCTCACAACATTTCTTATTGCTTTTAGATCCCGAATTGTGAGTGCTCTATATCCATGAGGTTAAGTTGCTGCGAATAAGCATGTCAACCTTTCACATCAGTATATGTACGCCTTCAAATGCTCTCCCAACTATCATGTGATTTTCAAAGCATTAACAATATTTATTGGTATTTGTAATATTATGTGACCGTTACGTAATATTATAACATTGCAACTTTTATCCTACCATCACTTTTTCATTCTTCTTTCGAAAAATGTATTATCGAAAGCGCCAGAGGCTAAAAAAAAAAACTCACATCTTCCAGTTTTGAGAATGCAAAAGTTTGACTGAAAATGAAACTTCAGCAATTGAATGAAGTGCATTGTGTTCAATACATACAAAAAAGTCACAGATAAAATGTTTCTCGGGGGCCAGAATTTAAACCTAATACCGTCAGCTCATGTCAGCATGCAACGAAAACATTTAACACCATAGCTGGCCAGCACTTAAAATGTATTCTCAATGTTCCATTAGTTCTGACGCCTCAAGAAAATTCTCTTAGAAAATAGAGAATAATACTCACATTCTGAAATAAAGTGTACACAAAATAATTCAAAGTTGTGAGGTTGAAAAATAAATTGTATTAAAAGACTAGTGGAGCTCCAACAGCACATACATTCTCAAATTATTTCTAAATTTGCAATTTTCGAAAGTTTAGAGTTCAACGAAAGATCTTTGCCATTATTTAAGCATTATTTTCTCTATCAGAGGGGGAAAAAGGGAAAAACTTTGGAGCCGCTTTTTAGAAAACAATATTTCTAAATTTGCCTAAATTTCAGACATTTGTAGTTTCCAAAAATTGTACAAATTTCAAGATATGTCAAAAGAACAAATTTTATTAAAACTTTTGCAATTTTTGAATAATCAGGAATTTTAACGAAACTTAGAACTAAGCCATTCTTTTAAGTGTACTTTACGCTATCCAGGGACAAGTTCAATCAAAATATTCGAGCCATTTTTGAGAATATTTTGAAAATGTTTTGAGAATTCTTGGAAAGTATCCCAAAAATTTAAAATATCCATTTCAAACTCAGGGCCTCAAGTTCCTTTAAATCTATTGAGAAATATCGAATTTACAGAAAACCGTCTGAAGATTTTTGGCTCCAGCGTTGACCACACATCGACTGACCAGACGGTACAGACATACAGACCAGATGTTTGGCCGTCAATCGAATTTTTGGTATCAAAAACACACAAAACATGAATTCTGACTACACAATGTGTTCGAAGAAGTAATTTCTTCTAACACAGTCTAGTCTTTTTATTATATTTGTCAAAACATAATTGACTTCAACTCATCAAGAAACTCTCCTACTCACCTGCATACGTCCTGCTGAACAACCTGCACATACTAGGCGCCCACATCGTCGACAATGATGACGACGATTAAACATAGAGAAGGTAACAGCTCTACAACACAAGCATTCTGATGCCTGAAAATAAGATGAGATTCATTTCATGCTCATGCTCTCTCAAATTGTGGTAATACATTGAGTTCTAGTCTTGCAAGTTAATGATATTTTTTCTAAGAGATTTTTAAATGTAGTGAAAGTTGTTTTCTTCACATCTGATATGAAAGGAAATAAAAGCCTTTTCATCATCTATTTTAATTTTTCTTTTTCATGTAGAGACAGGTATTGGTCTAATATTAATGTGAATGATTATCATTTTAAAAAACAGTTCATATTACTGATGATTTAACATATTGTCATAGCATTACTGACATACAATATTATTTTACTATCACAGGGATACAAACAATACTTATACAAAACTCTGAAGAAGAAATAGGAAGTAACTCTGGAATTTAAACTTTAGGTAGACAGGGCAAATAAAAATTTTGAAGGATTATTACAGATTTTGACAGATGACCCCAATAAAAATATCAGACTTATCTTTATCAGGTTTCAATCCATATTGTCTGAAGAATAGTGGGCTGTTTTCAAAATGCATTAGCTTTCTATAAAATTGCACATCAACATTTGAAATATTTTAAATGTTTTAAATATTTCAGCTGTAATTATCCCTCTGATTTCGATATTGGAACAAAATTGAATACACCAGAAAGTAGTATTATAGTACATTTTAAACACAGCTAAAAGATTTTTTTGTTTAAAAGTTTTAAAGACAATTATTTCTAATTTCTCAAACTGCTCAAATACATAATGTATTTTTTCTGTAAAAAGAAAATATACCTACTTATTAGATGGGCAGTGTTAAAAAATATTTCAACCAAGAGACAGTTGACGCAACACTGCCACATGCGTGTACGACAAATTGCATATCTCATTTGACATTCCCTTATTAGCAAGGAAATTGCCTATTAATTAAAAAAACCTTTGGAACAGCAATTGGTGAAAATTATGCAGTTTTGAAAAACATTGCTTGATATCTATTATAATTGTTAATTCAATAGCAATATGCATTGAGAACATTAATTTGCTAGGCCATGCAATAAAACAAAATCAGCAAAACTTTAGTGGATCATAGGGAAAAATCGTCTGATTGGATACACATAGAAAATTTGTTTGGTATACTGACTCGTGTTTCTTGAGTAGAATAGAAATTGAAATCTACAGTTTTGAGAGTTGGTTACTCGTAATAATTACTGTTAATAGTGCATATTTAACTATGCATAAACAAACTCACAAACTACTGACATCTTTAGGTCTGTGGGAATTCCAATACTCTCTCACGTCTACAACAATATATTGTAACGTCATAAATTTACCTTGTTGTCAGGCATCCAATCTCCCTTGGCAGGTACTTTCTTTGGCATGACAAATTCTTCTGCATCACTCTCCATTGAAACCTGACCATCTTCCAATTCTCCACTAGTGCCCTTTCCCTCTTTGCTTATCATCACACTCTGAGACAAAGAAGACTCCCTTCCTGAACCAGGCGGAGTAAGCTCAACCCCCAAAAAGTCTGGTCTGCTGACCCGGCACTCCAGTGCTTGGGCTGCATAATCACGCAGCAGAGCATCAATTTTATCGGGATTAAGGGGAGACGAAGGAGGCAACTGAGACAGGGTATGACGGAGAGAACTAATTATCTGTTCCAATACCAGAAATTGGCTGTTCATCAGCAGTTGTTCCAAAATGAGCTGAGGTTCACACACGAGATCCCAAAATGCTTCATGAAGGTTTGGTGTTAAGAAGTCTAGCATTCGCACTCCTAATGCCATTACTGTGAATCTTGCCATTTCTTCCTGTGACAAAGTCTCATGCAGAACATCCACAACAAATGCTACCACAGACTTCTTGCAGTTGATGCTCTCAAGCTGACTTAATAACTCCTCACAAATGGTGAATGCCTTCCGTGGAGGCAGTGACAACAAGAGCTACAAAAAAACAATATTAATCAATTAGCAAATTATTATATTAACTTCTATTTCTGAATTGTTCATGTAGTTGTTTAATAAACAATATTCAGTGTTTATTCTAATTCATTAAGTGATTTGTTGTCAAAAATTTGAAGAACTTAGTGCAAAAGTGTTTACTCGAAAGGTTAATTTTTACTTCATAAAGGCTATTCTGCTTCATGATACTGTGTTGTTTTGTGATTTTGAAGTTTTATTTGACCCAAAAGTAAGTAAAGGTAACATAAAACAACCTTGATTCTAGAAACTGGAAAATTCCAGTATTGAGTAGGCCTAAATAATGTGCAGTCTAGTTAATTTGCTTTATTTGTGCAATTCCATTGACAGTGAGGCTCCAAGGCTAATAGTTTTGAAATTACCACTGCCCAAGGCACTCACATAATGCAGTCGCCCATCTATCTGCGATTACTTCTAGAATTTTTATATGATCATGAGCTACTTCTTGAAAACTGCACACCAACAAATTATAACCAAGTATGTGCTAGTGCCAGAACACTGCTCTGATATAACTTGTCAAGTCTGTTGAACTGCTTTTTAGAAGTTTGCAGTCCGCTAATGTACAAAATTACATGCATGGAATAAAAATACTGGAAAATGTATGAGTGCACCCCGGATTACAACTTCAGCTGTATCTCTGATTACTGTTCCAAGCTTATTTCTGGTATCTAAGAAGGTAAGTGAAACTGAAATTGATTTACTGGAGAAAGACAAAACAAATAATATTTATATTCTGATTCATTATAACAGATCAATAATGTTCTACGTTTTGACTTCAAAACTGACCAGCAGCTTCTTTCAAATTATGCATATATATTGAACTTCAGCAAAGAAATTTCAGTATATGTGGGCCAGTATAATTCTATACACACCTGCTCAATAACTGCAAAATCATAATTCTCCAGTTCCAAAAGAAGCAAGATAAATTCCACATTCACTTGAAAGTTTTGGGGTGTCACATGTGGATGCTGCTCAGCCCAAGATACACTAACCTACAAGAGTCAAGAAATCATGCACCCTATGAAGTTAACTATGGTAAACTTATGACCTTCCAGAATATACACACATACAAAATCACATACCTACAAAGTTTTTAAAATGACACCAAATATCAAGACTGAGATAATACAAAACAAGACTCATAGCTTTTGACAACATACTTCACAAACCTCTGTAAACTTATTTCTGATAGTTATAGCTATAATAACTGTCAAGTTACTTTGTAATATGGTAAAAATTAAAGCTTGATAAAAATGATAAAAAATGAAGCAAACCTCAAAATGATCAATATTTATAAACGTTTATTGTAAGATATACAATTTAATAGAAAGCTCTAACATAGTCACATCATAATTATTTAATTGCGCATAAAAATTGTCTGCTAAACTTCAGAGCAACCCATGAGTACAGTGCAAAAAACTTTATTCACAATGAAAGGTCATCCAATTCGTTGATGTCTTACCTTTCCTTGTACTTGGATGTGAAGAAGCCGCTGCTGAAGAACGACTCGGAGTGCTGCTGGAACAGGTTGCGACCACTCACCTAAAAGTGCCTGCAGAACACGTTGGCATGCAGGAAGCGGCCAATCACCAAGATGGTCAAGCACACAGCTAACGGCCATGTTCTTGTTTTCCAGCAAGAGGCATTGCTTCCATGGTTGTATACTCCCTACACCAGAATTAATTAAGTAATCAATCAATCAATTAATCAATGCACAAGTTCAATTATCATATGCAGTTACAATTCATTATTCAGACTCCTCCTCCAATCCAAAGTTTATGAAGTTCATTAAATGCATCTGAATGTACATAGCCAATTAATGCAGGAAATGTAGAAAATTCCAACGGTAATTTTAAAATAATAAACCCAGCTTCAGAGATGCAAATTACACTCACCACATATGAATGTTGTTTTTGAACATACCTCTAGTACAACACTTTTCAAATGGTTAGTGAGCACTGTCAACAGGGCATATATTTAATGATTTACCTAGATGTTAGGCAACACTCAAATAATTTTAGACTACATCTTCTTTAGTTATCTCTGAATATCTTAGATTCTCGAATAAAATGTTCAGAGGGATATGCTCAGCCACTTAATGAGAATATGGCAAGCTTATTCAAAGGGTTGTGTGTGAACATTCTAGTATGCTGATAAATGTATATGTCATAATGAAGGTGGATATTTCAGTAAGGTTACACCATCCCTGGTTATTGTACCTTCACTTACCGCCTTCAGTGCCTCGCTCCAAGAAAGGCACAAACCTTAGTATCTACAGTCCCTTCCTCTGCAAAGGCCTACGAAGCGTCAGTGTCAAGGGGGAGGCAACACAAACGGAGGCCAGCCCTCCAGATGGACAAAGGGAATTGTTGAACAACGCAAGATACTTGCACCTGAGGCGAAAGTCACCGGAAGCGAGCGAGAAGTCGGAAGCCATCCATTGGGCCGCGGAACTTAAACTGGGAAGAATATACTACGCACTCAAGCAATGTGGGACAATTGAAAAGTATTAACCACTAAAGTAAACGAGGATCCTTGAGGGATTCCTCGATCCACAGGATTAAAACAAGGAAACTCGGAACCTTTGCCGGACCCATTTTAGAAGCCGACGCCGAAAAATCGTTGACGCTCTAGTCCCCTCGCAAGAAAAAGTGGATAGCCATCAAGGAATAGAAAACATCCTGCTGTTTACAGTACTGGTGCTGAAGTGCTCAGTCGGCAGCACTCTACAGACCACGAAAGCGCCAGAACTGGACAGCACCGCAGAAGTACTGAAACTGACGCTACATTTCAATCCACTGCTGCTCTTGGAAGCCCTCTGCTTGAACGCTGAGATCTTTGGCCAACGATGGAAAGCAACGCGGCTCATAGATGAAAGAAAGGGAAGACAAAACACGTCATCCCGTGCAAACCCGTGTGCAAGCTGGACACAATGGGGAAAGTTCTTGTAAAGCTGATACAACCACGGCTAATTACGGCTGACCGAGAAGCAGGAGACCAGTCGGAGTCGACGTTCTGCTTCAGGCACGGACGATCCACCACTGGTGGCGTAAGAAGAGGAGTAGAAGCCGCCAAAGCAACGCGAATGGGGAACCGTTATTCACGTAAAATGTGCCTCCGTGGAACGTTAGACGTCTTCAACTCGCTGAGAACGCCTTCAACTCGTCGAAATGGAGCGACATGGTTGCAACGCTACAAGACTCGTTTATAGTCCCAGCATATATTTGTGACTTGTCAACGCCTACTTGAAGGATCGACAAGTCTTGTACGGTACTTACAGGACGGCGAATAAAGGTCACCGCAGGCGTTGCACTGGGCTCAGAATATAATCGCGATGTATGGAACATTCTATGTGATGGTCTATTACGCATTGCTCTGTCAGATAGAACATCGTTTGTAGCTTACGCAAATGACGTCGCGATTGTCATCGAATCCCGAGACGTTCAAGCGGCGCAACTGTCTCTACTGCAAAGAATCAACAGTTGGAAGGAAGAACACTGCTGGGAATTTGCCACAGCAAACATCAAGATCGTGAAGCTCACACGAAAGAGGATCAAAATCGTCAGGCCAAAACGAGTATCAACGGAGACTGTCACCACTCAAAAAAGAACGTTAAGTACTTACGGGTAACGATCCACTCGCGACTCATCTATTGGAAGCACATCCAAAATGATGTCCATAAACCTTCTAGTGATGACGGCGCTGAGCAGACTGATGAGAAACACAAATGGTCATTAATAAACTTCTATTGCTTCAGCTAATAAACTTCGATTGCTACTGTCGGTCGCTGTATCTATTATGTTGTACGGGCAAAAGTCTTGGCTGACCCCGTGGAAGTAGACGAATATCAAAAGAGTCTGAGAGCTGCCCTAAGAAAGTAGCACTGAAAGTGACCACCGCCTATCGCACTGCCTCAGATAATGCTGTCTTGGGGCAGGAACAGCGCCGATCGACTTACCACATTGAGAAAAAACAGTGCAGACGATGTGTGAACTGTAATCAACAATGGTAATCCGAAAAGAAAAGAAAAAGAGAGAAAAAACAAACAAACAAACAAACATACAATGTAACACACCCCTCTGTCAAGTACAAAAAGTACTTAGAGAGGGTTTGGAGTGTAGTGGATAAGATAAAAAAATTTAAATTTGATAAGACCAGTTTTTTTGCTAAAAGGTTAAACAGGATGTAATGTAGAAGAGCAAAATTAGTTTTGTTTCTTATTGTTTTTACAGTTATGGTTTTTATTTTAAATGTTTTATATGTAAATAGTAACACCTGTACACTGTCAATGTAATTCTTTGGAAAAATAAATAATAATAATAATAATAATAATAATAATTATTATTATTATTATTATTGTTATTATATTATTATTATTATTATTATATTATTATTATTATATTATTATTATATTATTATTATTACATTATTCTTCTTATTGTTGTTGTATTTTAGTATTCTTTGTCTTTTGGAACACTTCCTCTGACAAAGTTTCAAGGTGTTCATACTCGCTAGAGATGGTATACCTTTCACCAACAATCCACTTCCACTATAACATATATTTGGGAGAGTACAAGTAAGTCCTCTTGTGAATGGTGTTAAATATAATTAAGAAGCAGAAATGGGAGACCCACAGCATGATAATTTAGCAAGGAGACGAATATTACTTAAGAAATGTTGTTGTGATCTTTAATATTTATACAACCTTTGCATTCAGACGATGATGCAGTTGGAAACAAAAGCATGTCTCGGAGGACACTCATGCCTGGGTGATCATACACAGCTCTCTCTGGAAGCATCCACACAACTTCTACAGCTTCCTGTTCTCTGCCACACTCGAGAAGATGAGCTACTTCAGGAGTGACTCTGTCCACAGCAAACGGAAGCTGCAATGCACACATGACAGGGCTTCCCTCAAAAGCCTCACGCAGAGCAGCAACAGGCCTCGAAACAAGTAATCGTCGCAGGTGCTTGGTCACATGAGCCCACTTGGCCAGCAATTGCTCTGTGGTGTCTGTTAGGTTATCTTTCTTACTTTCCTGAAGTAGTCTGGACAAAATGATTGCCAGCAACCAACAATGGGATTCTACAAAATGAAGAGCACCCTCTGTAATATTACAATTGTCATCTTTCGATAAAAGATCATCTTCTTTTGACTTAGGAACTTTCTGAGGGCAACCTTTCAGTTTAATAGTGAACTTGTAACTAACATTTGAAAATTCAGCACCATCTGAAATCAAAAGTCGTGACAATTATTTGTCAATTATATAACGCTTATTAAAGGATTTTTCTTCAAGAAAATCTATACTGAAAAATAACTGAAATTGTATAAAGAACAATTTCTAATATCTGAGAATGAAAAATAAATTGGTTTTTCTAAGAGTATTTAAGGTATTATAAATTAAAATATCACTACTACCACTCAATAAAAACAAAACATTTATTATTAATTCTGCAAAAATTTTTTTGGAAAAGAATTTATGGATGTATTCTATATTCATTTTTAACCATTAAGTTAATTTTTTTGTGACAAGCTTACAATGAATTAATTTATGTATTACAACCTACCCCATAGTGTTTGTAGAAATTTTGAGATGAACTCAATACTTTCAGACTCATCAGTCTCAATTAACTTTGTAATTGTTTCTTTTTCCTCCTCATTGCTCAAATGTAGTAAGCTCATGCCATCTTTGGTATTGGCAGCGTAACAATGGCTTTTCAACTTCATGATCTCAAAAATCTCATGTTCCTTGCCTACAAAGTAAATAACAGAACAAAAAATTGCTTTATAAGTATACTGTTCTTAACACAATGTTTAGAGAGGAAGAATGACACGAGTAATGACATACAAAGAACTAGTATATAAAATATGTTTTGGAGAAAAATAACCACTAATATGTATGGATATTTTTATTTATATTTACTTGTTCTGTACAGAATTAGTATAAAGAAAGTTGAATCAATTCCGAAATTTTAACGGAAATACTAATCTTTGGGACCTTTATAGCATTTATAAAAAAACACTTTCTCAAACACGACTACAACTTTTTTTTTCTTTTTTTTTTTTCTTCTTCATCGGATACAGCAAAGGAAATAAAATTGTGTAGATCTCATTTTTGTTGAACCGTGAATTTTCGAAATCTCGAAAAGTTAAGTGCAGAAATTATGTGCAGTTGTAGCACCACTAGTTAAATTTTAATTTATATTTCAGTGCCTTAGCACAGGTTTTTTGCACTCATCCCTCTGACAGGACAAATGAGGTTACGGACCAGATGGGTCAGAAGAGCTGGATGTCGGCTCTTTCTATCATTGCGAAGCAGAATTCCGCCAAGCGTTGGATTGTTCATCCACTAACAGGGAATGTGGGCTGGGTTTGGACCGTCGTGAGCCAGGTAAGTTTTACCCTACTGATGACGAGTTGTTGCGACATTAATCCTACTCATTACGAGACGAACTTCAGGTACGGGGAAACCGAGGAGAAGAGTATGGTGATGAGTGAAGGAGGAAAGGGGTAAAGGGGCAAGGGGCAAGGGGCAAGGGACGATGACAGGGAACCGGGGAAGGGGAACAGAGGGCAGGGCGTTGATAACACACAACAGATGTAAAGAACAAGCAATTGGAAAACAAGTTTTTACGAGTGCCGTTTAAGCTTACCGGAAAAAAGGAAAAAGTCGCTTGATACTATAGGCGCAGTGACTTCTCGCCACGGAGCAAAGGTCTGCGGTAGCTGAATTGGTTCGTTACTATTCTCTACCTGTGACATTAGATATTCTGCAGCTGCAGTATTCAACTGATTCTCCAAATCATCTTGGTTGAGTACCTACAAAAGTTAAGAAAATATTTTGTTTAGTTGCAGCTAATCACTGACATCAAGACGGGTGATAAATAATAGAAATTATACACTCGTGCAGCCTGTAATCAAATAGTTCTGTAATATTTTCTCGGTTCTGAAGTTAGATGTGTGTGTGTGTGTGTGTGTGTGTGTGTGTGTGTGTGTGTGTGCGTGCGTGTGCGTGTGCGTGTGCGGAATATATTTTGACCCGAACTGTACACAAATTGCCGCGACAAAGGCAATGTTATAATCTCGTCGTCTCCCGCTGTTGATTACGTCAGCCATATATGAGCAAGCGTGACTTGTTAATCTGTCGTCGACGCCTCCGCATCATCCCAAGAACATTTTCCACTGTGGGGGTGACAGATGTACAATTAGCTCGAGTGAGGCTTGAGAACCGAGTTTTTTTGGATATTGGTAGCATCCAAACGTCGCGACCAGCTCACAGATTTTATAGGAGAAACACGCATTCAGAATAAATCCTAAAGCGAAATCCTTACCTGAATTCTAGGCGTATACTGATGACCACAGGCTAAAACAAATGCCAGCCGGGGATCTTGTTTGCTGACAGATGGAAGACGTTTCTGAGAGTTCCACAAATAAGGCCATTTTGATGGTATTCTACATAAGGTATTTTGTAAGTTATATAATGATATAAAAGTTTGCTCTTTTTGGCCTATTATGTAGCCCACACTGCACTGTGAGATTGAGCGTCGCAGGTCACAAGACGACAGCAGACCAAAGCCTGCTTTGCCGGTTTCCAAAACCAATAAGCTATGCAACCAGACTAAATTTGCCAAATTGGCGTAAAAGGCGACTGTTTCAGGCCCAGGCTGCAGGAGTGAGAGGTCGACCAAAGACAAACATGCAGTTTGATTCAACACCCACTGCACCAGGCGATTCGAGACCACTTGAGAAGCCTTCGCTTTGTCAAGAAAATTTTCCCCTCCAGCCAATGCCTCGAGAGCAGCTAACAGATGGTCTAAGAGTCCAGCCACTGCCTGATTGGGCAACTCAACCGGTCCCATCCACGACTGCAAGGAAACACAAAAATAACTAGATCAAAGAATACTGAAAACAGTAATATGCTCTAGGCCAATATTTCTAAAATCTACATAAAATCGCACGGTACCTCTAGCTGATGGTTGAGGACGATACGACTTCCAGAAGCCGATTCCCTCGGAGATACTGCCGACACAGGACCGCCAGCTGTGGCTTGTAGAGTTTTTGGCCACACAATACTTGCCATACTGAGCACAAGATTGTGGTGCACAAGATGTGCAATGGCCTCCAACCGAGCATGGGCTAGCACTGAAGTCTCTCGCTCCGGTTGTAGGTCCAGCTGCAAGGCCAACCCACCAAGATGTTCCCGCAAGCTGCTCCCCAGCACACGCTCAGACATGCATTCCGTTGCACCTGGTCATAATGGATACCATATTTTTTTGCATAGATCAGATTAGCGGTGGTAAACGAGTTAAATTTTAGTGTTGCTAAAATCATAGGGGTAACATTTTAATATTTATTAAGTTTAATAATTACTCGCTTTTTAAAAAACTGCGTGTTAATGTATAACTTCAAATGCATTTTAAAATATTTGGATTACTATCAAATAATTATAATCAGAGAAAATGTTTATAAAACAGCGTATTATAAATAATACGAAAGAAGTCTCTTTTCCATTTCCCGAACTTGTCAGAAACGCCTCTTACATCTGACGCCGCACTCACGGAGAAAGATCAAGCAAAATATCGGTGCCTCTAAGCAGAGTTCAGTAAATGTAATCATGATAGGCTATCACCATCCATATGAAAACGCGGAGGGGTGAAATCACGAGCTACATTTACAAGGAATAATACTGAATAGTATACTGACAAAAATGAATAACATACTGACATTTTTCCTTCAATTGTTGATGTACGAATCTGTGAACCTTATAAAAAGACTCCTCAGACTCATGATGTTCTCTTAGATAATCTGATCGCACTGCAATGAATGACGCCACCAGTCGTGTTCCCGTCCCGAAAAGTAGCAATATTTTCAAAACTAGCTCGTCAGCTAGGGCGAATTTAGTCACTGTCTGGAGGAGAATTATAGAGTCGGCTGCTCTGATCGGTAGTTTTCCCGGGTTTCTCCGATCAACACTGGGAGAATACTGGAGCAGTATCCTAACAAACGGGCCACCAACCGGGCGCGATCTTTCCCTAATCTTCCTTGTCCTATCCTCACCCCTTGACATACACTAACTTGCACTACACAACCACACATGCCGGAAGACCGGTCGAGAGCTTGTCCCGACTGAGACGGTGCCCCGATGGTAGGGGGTACCTGATTGGGGAAAACCCCGTTAGCGAACGGTAGGTCTACGCCAGATCTCGCAATCTACCCGGGGAAGATCACGGCCACCTTCTGAGGAAAAAAACATGTACTTCACTTACGGAATTAATGACCTGAGTAATTGAATGCGCCCGAAATCACTGACAACTAATCAATCGCGTGCCCGTCGGCCTATGTCGACGGGTTGGTTATGCTCGAGCGGAGCCAGCGCCTTCGTAAAGTCGCTGGTGGATACGGCAGCCAGTAATTAACGTATCCGCTTTCGAATGCCTGACAAATTCTCCATTGACACGCATATCCCTACCCGACGTTCGAGGCCAGCCAAGGGGAACATTTTCCTTAACTTAACTCCGCAGCAGGAGTGGGGAAATATACACTTAGGCAATTACACTGAAGGGCCAAAAAACTGGAACCGACACGCGTATTGAAATAAAGAAATCTGGAACCAATCAGATCACCGCGCTCCGGTCGGCAGCGACTATATGACAACCAGTGTCTTGCACAGTTGTTAGATCGGTTACTGCTGCTACTTTGACAGGTTATCACAATTTAAGTGATATTGAACGTGATGTTATAGTCGGGGCAAGAGAGATGGAGCATAGCATCTCCGATGTCGCGATGAAATTTGGATTTTCCCGAACGACCATTTCACGAGTGTATCGTGAATCCGGTAAAACAGCGAACCCCCGTCATCGCTGCAGCTGCAGAAATATCGTGCAAGAACGGGACCGATGACGATTGAGGAGAATCATTACACGTGACAAAAGTGAAATGCTTCCGCAAATTGCTGCAGATTTCAATCCTGGGGCCATCAACAAGTGTGCGAACCAATAAACGAGACATCGATATGGGGATTCGGAGCCGACGGCTCATTCGCGTACCCTTGATGACTACACAATACAAAACTTTACGCTTCGCCTGGGCCGGTCAACACTGACATTGGACTGTTGAAGACGGGAATCACGTTGCTTGGTCTGACGAGTCTCCTTTCACATTGTTTCGAGCGCATGTACGTGTACGCGTATAGCCACCCATGAATCCATGAACCCTGCTTGTCAACAGAGGACTGTTCATGCTGGTGAAGGCTCTGTGATGGTATGGGGCGTGTGCAGTTGGAGTGTTACGGGACCCCTGATACGTCTAAGGTGACACGTACGTAAGAATCCTGTCAGGTACCTACCATTCACACATTTATGACCATTGTGCATCCCGACGAACTTCGGCAAATCCAGAAGGACAATGCGACACCCCACAGGTTGCAGTTGCAAGATTTATGGTGTGAATTATCTCCAGCACTACTTCAGACATTAGTCATCTCACGTCGTGTGGCGGCTTTGCAGGGGTCCTACATGTTATTAGGCGATATTAGGTGTTCCAGTTTTTTTGGCTCTTCAGTGTAATACTGAATCCCCATTCCAGAAGTGAACGAAATTTCTGGAAGGATTCGCCGTCTTCAAATCATGAAACGATCCTGGTAGAATGTTGCAGCAACTTCAGCCCGCCGACGAATCAGAAACCACAAACGCTCACATCCCAGAGAACGTGGTAGTGGGAAAACTTATGGAACCAGGGTCCAAGGAGCGCAAACTGGGAAGCGATCAGGATAGCGCTATTTTAATTTCTTTTTTAATTGTTAACCTTGACGCAACGCGTCTCTAAACCCCTATAAGTGCATTGAGCGCTTGCGTTGGGAGTACTCCTCCGTTAATATACACTGGCGGAGAAAAGTATTGCAACACCGGAAAGGGTACGAGCAATCAAGTAGACGATAAGGGACGATAGGGATGGGAGGTCGTAGAAGCCGTGACTAACATATCACGGATGGCTGATGTAATGACAGCGTGAACTAAATGGCCCGGACGCGCCATGTACTTGGCAGCTCTAAACGGCGCTCCCCACTGTACGGCCACCCGAACCGTACGGCCACCCGAAAAACAGGCACTTGTGGGCCCCAACGTTTCTCCACGTACCTTTGGGAACCGGTTATTGCTGCAAAATTACAATCGCGCCTACCGCTAGCTTCGCTGCCACTCGCACCGAACCATCGCCGGGTCCGTCTGTTGTGGTACAATGTGCGGGTCACCTGGCAAACGGAATGGCGTGCAGTGGTGTTGAGTAATGAGAGGAGCTTCTGCCAGCACGCCAATGACCGTGTGCGTGCGAAGCGTCGCATGGGGACGTGCGCCCGGAGTGTGTTCGTCCACGTCACGTAGGACCCACCCTGGGAGTGATGGTCGGGGGGGGGGGTGCCATAAGCTACAACGTGCGTTCGTCTTTGGTGTTCGTGGAGGGATCATTGATTTTCGGAGTAATTATCCGTTAACATATCTTTAAATTTGTCCAGTCACGTCGCAGTCAAAAGGACAGCTAGGTTGCATCTCCGTGCACGTCCGTCCTACCACGCGCTCCCACGTCACGTCACTACCCGGCGGCAAGAATGGGAAAATTACGACATAGGGTTTACGACGCTTTGCAGAGGTGGGTCTAGCCATCGTTGGAAACAGGCAAGCATATTTTCTTGGAAAAATTTCACATGAGTTTCGACGGGAATCGCATCTGGAACTCCTTGGTGAAAGGAGAGCGACTTCGCTCTGCGCCATGAGATGCCTTTAGGCCGTCGTGGCAAATAACTGCTCAACACCCCAAACGAATAAGTTAACTTTGCGACAAAATGTAGCCCGAGTTCAAAACATGCTCGTCTGATAACTCGGAAGAACTGTTGAGTGTCGGTTACGTTTGACGACCGTGCTCATATATCACACATCGACGCCCAAAATGTGTAGCGAGGGCGATATGGTACATCGCCAACCAGAGGACACCAAGCAGCGGCGCAGAGCCACCAGAGTAATTCGAATCGTGAACAACCGTTCTGCAGACGGACGAAGCTATCTTCATCCAACGGGCAGATCAGTTGAAGTGCTGGCACTCATTCGAGTAATACACCATAGAGACGGGTTCAGGTTTTGTGTTCTTAAAATATTTCCAGTGTTCCACCTCTTAAATTCTGAGATCGTGAAACTATACCGCACGACGGTTGGCATGGCACCCGGCACCATCATACTACTAAGAGGTGTCAAGATAGATGTCAGATAACAATTTGAACACATTAGATCAGTTCCCACCCGAGATCTCCGTGGAAAATCTTGGAAGATATGTGATAAGACAGTCAAGGGGGTAAACAAAATGTGAGAAGATGGAAAAAGGAGGAAGTCTTGAATAAAGAGATACGGAGGAGAATAGGAACAATAGCGATGACCCAATATGCACATGACAGCAAGTGAAATATTTGATGATCGAGATACAATGTAAATAAGCAGAAAGATGGAGGTGAAACATAATGACGGAAAGAATGCTTTCGTGGAAAGATGAAGAAAACAGGTTCAATTAATTCACATAAAACCTGCAAAATTATTTCCTCACGACGTTGGTTCATAATAATTTATTCAACTGAGGATGCAATGAGGTACCAAAAATATTAAAACTAGTTGGATGCGTGCGAACACTAAGTACTTTGTAAATAATTGTTTTAAAAGTGAAAACAGGATTCTGGATCCTAAAATTGAACGGCCATTAACTTTAGTATTGAGGGTGAATAAACATACTAATATTGCTGAGGGTTGAGATTAAATATCATAGAAAACGAAATAGGCTCGTTGATTTCATTGCGGAACATTGTTTCTATTTTCCTTGCATTTTATTTTACATAGAATTGGAATTACTGCTCGTTTCTGACCACCGTGCTATGGACCAGGGGCCATCAGAAGAGCTAATTCTCCAAAAATGTGACAGAAGTTTTAAAAAATACTACTTATTAAACGTAATTTGATATCTTCCTGTCCTCCGCTTGTCGCCCACATTTCCCAACAAAAGTTGCCAGTTGGTACAAGAAAACTGGTTTTAAGGACTTCAAACAAATCGTTTCCGAAATTATGCGCAATTGTAATTTGTGTTGTAGTAATCGATTCCTAGTAACATAAACTGGATGCTTCCATTTTTTTATCTTAAATCTCTTTGATGCAGAATTGGTGAATAATTTCCTAAATAGCAGTACCACATTTGTCGATGGTTTCTTGGTTAAATTGTAAAAAGGGTCTTAGCGTAACATAACTGAGAGGATACTTACATTGGGCACGCTCTTCTGACAGGCATGCTGACAAAAACGTTATGTAAAAGAGTAATTTATCCACATAATTTTCTTTACCACATATTTCTTCAGCAGGAGATATAAAACCTGTAAAAAATCCCACACATAGTTCCCTTAGAAATAAAATTTTCATAATACATAGATTGATATTCAAATACATACAAGTAAAGAACAAGGATAATGCAATATTACTGATAAAAATTCCTCTATGTTGATGAAATTACATTTATTTTACCTGCTGAAACATTTAATGACGCACATAACTTGACAAAATCACGAAGTATGTCACTCTGCAGTAATTTAAACCAATACACGTCCCATGATGATTCAGAATCTTCGCACACGAGTTCACGCCAACTCTCTGCTTTTGTAGCTAGAACTCTCCAAAACTGGAGTTGGTCTTTAAGTCCCCTCCACAGCAATGGATAGAGATGAGAGTGAAGAAGATTGCACACAGAAATACGCGACGAAAAGCCTCCATCAGTGGTATCTTTGTTGACCAATCTGAAGCTCTCAACTAGAGCCTGAATGTATGGTCCAGTCCCCAGGGTCTGGCCCTTGGAAAGCGAAGGTGGTGGAAGATTTCCCAATCGTCCGGCAATTTCCGTGCACTGTTCCAACAATCCCAACAGAGCTACAGAGTGCTCATTAGTAGAGCTCGCTGTCAGCAACACATCCCAAAGTGCAAGTGTAGAGCTACTCTGACTCACTCCAAGAACGTTCTCGCACACTGGGAACTCTGAAAATATTCTAATGTGAATCCTTTTAAATTACTAGTTACTAGGGTAAATGAATAAAAGATTAGCAATGTACCTGCCATAACTTCCGGAGCTTCTGGCAGGTTGGCCAAAGGTGTGGAGGACAGGAAAAAGCCCACTTCCTTCGTGACCCAAGCAATGAATGCCCCTTCTGTAGCAACCTGCTTCACACACTGCATTCAGAACATTTAAAAACGTATGAGTTTAAACATAGGACATTTGCCTCATCTACTTTACGCCTAAAATATAACGCAGAAAATATTATGCGTAAAGAAAGTTCATAAATTGAATCCTGGAGATATCACCGGGTTGGCAATATGGGGATCAGCTTTTCGGGTGCATCCCTTGGTTAAGACGAAGTTGTTAGCCATAAATATCAATTAGGGGAGTAGGATGATGTTTTTGTTATTATTAATGTAATAGAGTGATGATGGGTGAAAGGCAAAGGATGATGGTAGGTGTTAAGTGGTGTAGTGGGAGGTGTTCGTGGGTATTTGAACAATCCCAGCGTTCACCTTGTGACTGAGGAAAACCACGAAAATCCCAATCAGGATGGCCGGCCCGGGGATCGAACACGAACCTCCCGATTGTGAGTCCAGCGCGCTACGAACTGAGCCACTTCGCTTGGTTATATACAGAGCGTCCGGGGAGGAAACTTCGAAACTTCGTTAATAAGCTCTTAAGACAATATTAAGCATATGTATCTAATAAACAACTCAGATATTCTTAATGGTTGAGCAGCAATACGCACTCAAAAGTTGGTTTGAAAAAATGTTTTTTAGTCAAAAACATGTATTGCAGAAGCATAGAAACACTCCCGAAATATGTAAACTGTGTATTATGTACAAAAAATAGATATACTTGTTTAGAAAGAAAACTTAATACAGAAATAAAAAGTAGTTGAATTGTGTAAATTGGGTGCTTTTTTTATTTTTATTTTATTTTATTTTATTTTATTTTATTTTATTTTATTTATATTATATTATTTATATTATATTATATTATATTATATTATATTATATTATATTATATTATATTATATAATATATATATATATATATAATATATAATATATATATATAGATAGATAGATAGATAGATAGATAGATAGATAGATATGTGGAAAACCACAACGGTATACGTGACATTTCATAAATGCTGTGCAATCTATTTAAGTCAATATCACTGTAAACTCGTGGTGCTTTGTTTCATCGTTAAAATCATGGCATTTCAATTCTTCTTAAAACCACGAAAATACATTGCCACTGGAATATAGCCTAAAATATTTTTAGCGTTCAATTATTTTTAACTTCTCTGATCCAAAAATATTCACTAAATCTTACCCCATGAAAGTAACGCTCACTCAGAGAAAAATTTATTTTGGACAACAAAAAACGAGAAATTACAAAATAATATTAACATAATATTGTAATTAATTATTCACAACCTGTGCTTCAGAGTAAATTACGTTCATAATTTTATTTTATACATACGGTGCTGGGAACGTCATAACAACTAGTAGCGAAGATTAATTAATGGCGTTATAAATAGTTGGCTCAATTCATTATGTGCGATTTTAATTTGTTGCGTCTAGATTAACGCAACGCGCCTCTAAATCTCTTGCCCAGCGTTGAGCGCATTGCGCTTCGGTGTCCGCCATTAAGAAGCATGGCATTGTCAAGTTTCGTCACAGTCAGTAGTCAAGAGGACCATCAGGTAGCGTCACCGCGTAAGCGCCTTTTACACTACGCTCTCCAGCGTCACTACCCAGCGGCCAGAAACGGGAAGGAATTAGTATAGGGGTAATGTTTAGGTTGGACTAGCTCCTGTGAAGCAGGCAAACTCGTTTTGTTGCAACAATTTTCACATGAGATGGTCAGGGAATCTAATACGGACCTCCTTGGTGAAAGGCAATCGACTTCGCTCAGTGCCACAAGCGAGGTAGCTTTAGAATTAACAATAACTACACTAAAGGCTTGCAGAAATCTCATGATTATGCATATGTATTGTATCCTAAACTCTTGTTCCGGTTAACTAAAATAAGCTCATTCATGTTTTACTTCATGGCTACAGCTACCGCGGTATTGTAATTTTGCGTGCAAAAACGGCGAATTTTCGGCAGAAATATTGCAGGGTCCTGGTAACGAAAAAGTGGGTAAATACAGTTGCTAAATTTAGGGAAGTAATTTTCTAACACGTTGTATAGCCAGAATCGGTTTTATGGCTCCTTGATTCCGAAAAATCGATTATCGGCAAAACGTCTGTCTTTGAACAACGCTAGCGGCCAAACAGTTTGTGTAATACTCCAAAATATCTATAATATACTCCAGAATAAATATCTCCAGAATTGATATTTTTCTTCATCGATCTGGTTGATGTCGTGGCCCCTTGAATTTATAAACGATATTTTAATTTGGGGGGTACTTTACATCAAGCCCCTGGGACATTTTCAAAATTTTCAAAAAACAGGCGCCATCGATTTTGATTAAATTTTGTTGTTGGGTAGTGTAGAGGACGTTTAAGAGAATGGCACAGGCAGAGGCGTGATTCAGGAAGGGGAACTGCCCTCACCAATACTGGAACAAATTTTAAAAAGATATATTTAGACATATCATTTCGAGGATCTTAAAAATTATATAAAAAATTTACTTGCTTCTGTATTTTAAGAATATAATAAAAATTAAAACTAATAATGATGATGATGATGATGATGATAATAATAATAATAATAATAATAATAATAATAATAATAATAAAGCCAACAATTTTTTAAGCTGAACTAATAACATACTTTAATAAATTGGCGAACTTTAGTTCAGTATTACAAAACACGCATGATAAAGTTCAGTGTTGTTGTGAATATCCCTTATAAATAAATCATCTTTCAATTATATTTTGCTTTGAAACGTTATTTACTTAGAAATTAAACAGTTTCATGCCTCAAATTATGAGTCATAACACCTTTAACTCTTAAAAAGAAAGAGTATTTCCCATTTCTTATAGATAGAACTAAAGGTGGTCATATGAGCCATTTACGAGTATATAATTTGAGGCCCCTTGGTATCTTTTCATACATCACAAACATTCTAGCAGGAAGAATTTTAACAACGAGTTTAATAACTCCTTTCGTCACCATAGCTTTGTGGCTCAGTTGTAAATCAGAGCTGATGTGCAACAGTCTTCTTGTTTTCTAGGATCAGAAACCCCTGAAAGATAAGACTTGAGCTTCTAATTAGAGTTAGAGGTTGCGATTGTAATTCTCAACGAAATAAATAAAATATGTTTTAAACATTGTTTTAATGCTCATGATGTACAATTTTTCGAAAATTTGAGTATTTTTCTCAATTTTGTGTGAAATAGATGCAATTTTGAATTGTTAAAACAATGTTTTCTCACAAAATGGCTACATTATTTCCGATTAAATATTATTGGTGAATAGTCTGAAGAAAGTTTAAGAGAATGATGTAGGTTTCATGTTGGTCGAAAATCCTGATTTATCGAAACTGAAAATTTTCAAATTTGTTTCGGCGTTTTCCTACAACTACAATTACGAAGATACATTTTTTTTCCTTAACGAAATGTGTTCATCAATAACAGATCATTAAGTAAGGTGAAGCTCAATTTTTTTAAAACTTGAACCTCTTTTTCGAAATTTGTGTCAGAGGCACTTTTTATTTTCTTTAAACCACTTTTTCTTTTAAAAAAATGCTAAATTGGGAACTCGTTAGGATAATATATTACAACTCGTAATATCACAAATCGTAGAATATTAGTAATTTAATTAGTTTATTAGTATTAGAGTTATTTATCGACTGCGTATGATGTACTATGAATAACCGATAAACAAGTTGAAATCTGAATACAAATGGAAAAAAGTCTTCCCCATGAATTGATATTATTCGCCAAGCACATAGTTTTGGCAACGCTGCGCTGACAACAGTGCTTTGCTAGCTTCTTGGTTGAATAGGACGTTTTCCAGTGAAAGGTGATATGTTAGTAGCGCCGAAAACGCAATATTTCAATAATACGTAGCTGTTTCCAATAAGGCGAGAACGTATGTTCTGTTGCATTTCTGAACTACTAATAATCTTACCTGCAACAATGGATTTTGTGCACGTGAAGGTTCACTTGGAAGTATTTGTTGTTCAGAAGCGCATTGACTCTGCACAGTAACAGGGCTTACAACCCTTCTACTGCCTTCTGGGACAGTACTTCTAAGACGAGCCCGCATGCGTATTAAGCTAGCAGTGAATGCAATATCAGATACCGTTGTTGAACTCATTTGATGCATCTGAAAAATAAGACAATTATTAAACAACGTAAATCATCCCATTTCAGAATTAGGGAATTTTCTTCAAATAATGATCTAGCCAGAGGTATTTTACGGTATAGCAGACATGGCACGTGCCATTGACGCCACTCACAACGGGCGCTATTTAGATAATACCAGCTAAATCAAATAATAAAAACCCTCATTTGAAGTATCCTGACAGGGGCGCAAAATATATGACTGCCCTGGGCGCCTGAATACCTAGATAGGCCTCTAGATCTAACGCAACACACAAATATATCATACGCCATAAGGAGAAAGTTATTATCTATTTTATGTCAAAAACGGCAGTTTCCGGAATTGTGGAGAAAATAAAAGCTACAGACGAAAAACCCACTAGCAAGGCAAAGTACCATTTTAGCACATGCTCTTTAGACAGTGGAAAACAATTTAAGGTAGATTATATCTTTAAAAAATATTTTTAAAAATTAAAAATTCAGTTTTATTTTCTCGCCTTACTACGTACTTAAGAGAAAGTTTTGTAATGCTGCGGAGGAAATCGGCGATTTTTCGACAGAAAAACTTCTGAACTTATGATTGTGCTAGTTTCACGGTGAAACTCAGTATTTTTATATTTCTCGACAAACAAATTTCCAAGAATTTTATAAATGAGTCTCTACGTTATGTCAAGAAATGTTCATGTACGTGTTCTGCAATCCGAACATCAAAAATGAAAGTTTTATAGTACAGCACATTCTTTGGACTATAATATTCAGCAACGATTTTAATATTCCTGCAACAAACGACCTAGGAATACGTCATAAAAGAGCGCGCTATTAAACTCCAGTGAGAAAGAATGGGGACCATCACCAACACCCTAACATTCGAAGGGCCTCAACGACCATTATGCGAATGCAGACATTAAGGTACATAGTTTATTCGTTCGATTGACCAGGCGTGACTACTTTAAATAGAAGTATAATCTCTGTTCTTTAAGATGTTAAGAAAAAATATGACAAGAAAAAAGTGTGGGAGCCGATGTCAAACTAACCTATATTACGTAATGCCAACTTATGAAAATAAAAGATCGTATGAGAGACTAAATTTAATATTAAACATTATTTTTATGGAGCAAGAATTCCATGCTTCCCATTAAACTATTTACAAAAAATAAATTTAAATGCTCCATTCATATTTACAACAGCTATTGTTTATATACAGGTGAGTCGCGTAACTTTAGAACCTCCTATAACTTTTGAACGGTAGATGTTATTGCAACAGCTCAGCCGATTTTCTTGAAAATTGATATTCCCCAAATCGATCTGAATGAAATCGTGGCTTCGGGAGTTTCAAACAGATATTTTGATTTTTGACACAAAGGCCCAAAAACATTTTCAAAATTTTCTCAAAAACGGCAGCAAATTTTTGAAAAAGCCGTCATTTGATAGGGTAACGTCTAAGAAAATGGTGGTGGTCTCATGTCCGTTGAAATTACAGATTTTTTGAAAATTGAAAATGCGCAATTTTTTGGGGCGTCTTCCTACAATTATAATATTAAAGATAGATATTTGTTTCTTTAATGAAATCTGTTCATTAAAAACGGATCTTCAAGACATGATCAATTTTGCAACACATGCTGCACAAATTTCTTCATTAAATACGCACCTGTACAACTTCCTGAGCCTCGTCTAGACGCCTGTGAGCAAGGCATTGTACAGCTAAACTGTTTGGCGATGACAACAATTGCACAACATAATTATCTGCCATTGAATCCGCCTCTCTGATAGGACAACTTCCAGTACCTGAAAGTAAAATACGAAAGGTGGGTGTTTCAAAATGCGAAACTTCAAAAAGTAGGATTCACTGCTTTCTGCATGTCACAATGTTGCTCAATGTGTGTAGCAATGAATTTCAATTTATTACTACACATTTACAACAGGTTAACGTAATCAACCAGTCTCTGTAAATATTTAATTTTGGAAATCGAATACAAAGATATAGAAAAATCCGTAATGTGCGCTGGATATTACAACTCTTCTCATTGACAATTTCAATGCGAATGAATCTTTCGTTAGTGGAGTGGGCGTCGTGGGTGGGGTGCAAAGAAGTGTGTCGTATTTTAAGGGAGATAAAGGGGTAAAAGAAAGTTTACCCAACTATCTCGTGCTATCTACATGCAAGCAACTCCCTTGATCGTAATTGTTGCATGTAATATAAGAACCCCCCCCCCCGAGCCTCATCAACCCCGATATCCCGGTCAAGACGTACGCTTGACCATCGAATGTCTTTCCACCACATTGACTTTACCCAATGATCTCAATGATGAACAGCAGAAATTCATTAATGGTTCTCGTGCCTTTCCAAGAACACAAACGTCCTTATATTTCCTATTCAAACGTATATTCCCCCTTAGTGAGCACCCAATGGAGGTTTCAGCCAGAGAAAAAAGAGACAATTGAGCGTGTTTCAGGGAAAATCGTGATTATGATTATCTCGTGTCCCTCACGGAAGCTCACGAATTTCAAATTCACATTCCAAGTTCGCCTACAAGGTGTCCAAGTGGAGGAGTAGTCAGAAAGCCGAGTAGGGAAGAATGACGAATGGTGGAAATATAGAAATATGAACCTCTGAAATATAAAAAAAGGAAAAGACAGAGGCACTATTAGCAAGTTCTTCGAACATCGTATGTAATGCGGTTAAATAATTTAACCATTTGTTTTTGCAAGGTATGCCACCACAGGTTTTCACAAGACCGTCCTGCATTTTCAATATTACGAGAAGATTTAAATCGCAATGCATCACGATCAACCAGCCATATGTTTAAATTATTGTGTCAAATATTGGCCCTTTGCAATTTCGTAGGCAAATGCTTCCCATCACGGGAGATAGGAGTTCCTGACAGGCTCGTTTCACACTTGGCAACGATTAGAGTAGCACACTTAGCAGCAGAGTAGCAATCTTTGACTTCACGGACCTATAAATTCGTATATTTAAAAACTACAAACCACTAATTAGAAATTTATAAAAAGATAAATACTTGTCAAAAAGTATTAACGATCAAATAATTAAAACAAATAGAAAATGTCGATTTATATTTTTTTTACTTTCCCGTCTACGTACGTATATACGGAGTATATGGAAAGTTATGTAATGTTGCGGAAAATCGCTTTTGAGATTTCAACGGAAACACCCGAAAAAGTTCTTTTTTCTTTCAAAATACCCGCTTGTCCGTTAGTCAAAACTTGCTCAAAATTCCGCATTTTCAGAAATGCTCAACCGCTATTTTCTCAAATTGGATCCAATTTTTTTCAAACTTCTTTTCAGCTTAAGATGGTGGATAGTGCCAATTGTACTCTTTAATATGACGTAATGTTCATTTCAGGATATTTTTTGTTTTTCCAAAAGTTACACAAATGTAAATTATTTGAAACATCTCTCACGCCATTAATTTGCACATTTCCAGCGATTTGTAAACACTCTTGTATTTTTGAGTTAACGTCCTTCAAACGACTTCGAATGAAGTTTTTCGAAATTTCAAAAACTTTCTGTGAAAAAGATCACCTTATTTCGAATATACCAGCGGTTAAACGCAAGTTTTTAGAAACGGCTTAAATTTTTTAAAGAAAAATGCCATTTGAACGAAGTTTTACTGTTCTTTAATATTCTTAAAATAATTTTACCGTTATAGTATTAGGAAACTGAAAAATTAAGAAATGTACTTTGGCCGGCGATGTCAAAAAAATGTACTTTGGGCGGCGATAAATGCCAGCTGGCAAGAGTATGTGGCAAGTCCGAGAAGCTAGCCGAGACCAAAGAAAATACAAAAACTAATTAGGGACAGTCAGTGCCATCCTTTAGCACCACTAGTTTCATTTTGCTTCACGGAATCATAATTATTGTTATCATTCCAATATAATTTATCGCTTTATCATTCCAATATAATTTATTTAACTATTATACATTTCAGTACTGTATTGATATTTATATGTTAGAAATACGTTTATGGATTGTTTACTTTCCCGTATACGTTCATATATACATAGTAGAAGGAAAGTTAAGTAATGCTGGGGAAAATCAATTTCCAGGTTTGAACGGAAATACACGTTTTGGGGTCCGTCCCTCAGTCCGTCCCTCAGTCCGTCCCTCAGTCCGCCTACCTGTCCGTCCCTCAGTCCGCCCACCTGTCCGTCCCTCAGTCCGCCCACCTGTCCGTCCCTCAGTCCGCCCACCTGTCCGTCCCTCTATCCGTCCGTCCGTCTAGGGTCTGTGAACAGTGCTGGCGCCTAAGCCATACGTGGGATTTTTCCAAATTCCTATCCATCTGGCTCGAGTCGAAACTATGAGAGTTTGAAAATATTCGTCAAAATTTGTGGTTACTTCACATGTAGCCCACCGGACATTTTCAAAATTCTCAAAATCGGCCCCAATTTTTTTCTTTAAATTTCTTGTAAGAAACGAGTAACATACACTTATAAACGTGACATATGTCCAATTTTCAAGGTTAACTCTGAATTTTTGAAAATTTCAAAAGGGTGAATTTTTTTCGGCGTTACCCTACACTTAAAAAATTAAAAATAGAAATATTTCCTTCCAATACAATTTGTTCTCCATGGCGAGTCTTTCATAAGGACATGTACATTTTTGTGAAAATTTTAGATTTCGCACAATATTGCTTGCAATATGTACAATTTTTAAAAAATTACACAAAGATTTTCTCAAAAACGGCTCCATTTTTTTTTCTTCAAACTCTTGGTAGGGATAGTGCTAAATGTCGATGACATAAATGCAATACTGCTCTATTCTTTTGTTTCTTCAAAAATTACAAAAGTGTAATTTTTTTGAATTGTCCCTCATGCCGTTGATATTTATATTAGAAGCAATTTGTTTACTTTATTTTATTTATGAGTACATGTGATTTAAATAATGTCAAAGTTTCTCGAAAACTGAACCGTTTGCTGTGAAAACTATCTCAAAATACTCCGTTTTTAAAAACACTCAAACGCCAATCTGTCAAAAACGGC